TTCAGTTTGAATTTTCTCTTGTTGTGGAGTATGAGATTTTGTCGGCTGATTAATTGGTACTTCGGTTTGTGATTTTTGACTTTTTTGAATATCAAATTTAGAAGAAGTAGCTAGTGTTTTATTGATTTCAAAATCTATTTTGTCTGCTTCATTGGATGTTAACAAAGCTTCTGGTCCCTCATCTGATATTTCGTTTGTGAGAGGAAGCTTCACTGCAATAGATTGATTATTTGATGTTTTAACATTAGAACAAAAAGACATCAACTGACCTTTACTTTCCATTGTTTTTCGTGTGAGTTCTTTTAAAACTGAATCATACATCAATTCTTTATGCTTAACTTTATACCACAATTTATGCCTTAACTTATACCTGTTTACTTTTTTGTGGCAAAGCTTTTGCTACTTGTTGGTAAATAATTTTTTACTTTTCACTATTATTCATTTTAATAATTCCGCCTTCAAACTAATTTTTAACTGACTATTTAAAGCACAACTTAAATTTACAAGCTACAAGAAATGCAAACGGGGGTTGTTTGTTTAGTTTTTAAATAATTTATAGTATCTTATTTTTATTATAAAATATTTTTTACAAAATAAAGTTTAAAAAATTATAAAAAATACTATTTACATAACAATTTCAAAAATTAATATTTAAAGTTTAACAATACTATAAAACTTTAGCTTTTGAACTTGTTACCCTTAGTAAGACTGTTGTTGCACTAATTAATTAAAAATTGAAATATGAAGAAATTCCGAAATTCTTTTTATACTTCATATTGTTTTTGAAAAGTATTGAGCGATTGATTTAATGAAATGGAACGTTTTGAAATATAAAGAATATCACTACTTTTTGATGACTTCTTATTTTTACTCATGCCCAGCGTACTTTATTGACGATCCCTAATATTTAAATTTCTTAAATAATGTTTTTTTTTATAAATTTTAACTTTTTAACTCATAAAGAAAAAAGAGAAGATGAGGGGGATGGGTACTTCAAAAGCGTACATACTTTTCAAAGGGGGGAGAGGACTAAAAAGTACGCTTGGCAACTGGGGGGAGGGGGGTGGTCAATATTTTGAAATTTTTGGCGTACGTACTTTATGGATGACCCCTAAGTCCATATTTCTCAGGTGTTAATGGTTTATAAGGTAAGGAGGTTTATTAAAAGCATTCTTTGGTGAAGGTTCAATATGATTTGTTTTATCAATGATCAGAGTGGAACTTGTTGGAGCTAAGTGCCTTAGCGAAACTGTGGTTTCTCCTCCATCTGGGTACCATATGTGAGCATTTGAGGATTAGCATCTATGAGTTAAACTTCGTCTACCAGTGGTTCATACTTATTATTACGTAAATATCTTTTCATTAGAATTGGTCCAGGATGACATAACCAGGAAGGTACAGTGCATTCAGCGGCTGTTTTACGAAAGTGCTTAAACAGTCTTTCATAAGGTGTCTCCATCATTTTAGTATTTATTAATAATCTTATAGAATGGAGAACATCTGGCAATACTTTTTCCCAAGCTTTGATGGGTAAATTGTGTTGTCTAGTAGCAATCTCAATAGACTTTATCATGGTTCCATTATACTTTTCTGCTTGACCATTTCGATGGGGATTATATGCTGTAGTATGACTAGTCACAATACTTTTCTCTAGTAAGAATTGTTTTAATTCTTTATTGATGAAGGCTGAACCTCTATCGGAATGGATATAACTTGGCAAACCGAAAACTGAGAATAATTGTGAAAAACACTTAATTACAGTCTGAGATAAAATATCAGGGCACGGGATCGCAAAGGGAAAACGAGAATACTCATCAACTATGGTTAAAAAATACTTGTTATTAGTTTCTGAAAGAAGAGGTCCTATAGTATCTAGACTTACATTCACAACATAATTTGCACTGATTAGTTATTCGTTTAACCTCATCAATTAAGAAAGGTAAATTAGGATTTTTAATAAAAGCATAAAACCTAGTTGCTCCAGGATGACAGAATGATTAATGAAGCTGAATTAAGTTGTCAGTGTTTATTGCTGAGCAATGTATTCTAGAGAATGTGTCAGTTGGGATATTTAATTTCCCTTTCTTGTGAAAAATGTCATAGTTATAGCAACATAGTTCAATTTTCCATCAATAAATTTTATCATTTTAAATTTTTGATTTATGTTACTTTTCAAAGATATAGAACACAGGTTGCTGATCGGTAATAAGTCTAAAATGGCGTCCAGTGAGGTAGTGTTTCTAACGTCTGACTGCTTCTATTATTGCACAAGCTTCTTTCTCAATAGAGGGATGTTTAAGCACAGATTTTTAAAGTAATTTTGAAAAAAAAGGCAACAGAGCGCCCATTTTAATTAAGAACTGCAGCTATAGCAATGTCAGATGCACCGGTTTTTACTTCAAACAGGACATTTTTGTCCACATAATCTGTCACAGCCTTTGCAATGTCTTGTTAAAGTTGATTAAAATCATTTACACACTGATCATCTATTGGGTACTTGGTGTTTCTGGTAAGAGAAGCTATCTTGTTGGAAAAGTTTGGAATCCATTTAGAGTAGTATGAGAATAGTCCGATGATGTGCTTCATGGATTTAGCATCATGAGGAGGAGGCATCTCTTTCATAGGTTGAAGACAACTGGGATATGGTTTGAGTTTTCCTTCTTCTATAAGATAACCAAGAATGCAAATTTTATCTTGGGAGAAGCTACATTTATCATGATTATATGTAAGATTAATATTTTTAGCTGACTTGAGAAATTTTTCCAGATTACTATCATGCTCCTCTTGGGCTTTACCACATATTGTCACATTATCTAGGTAAGTAAAAGTATCTAAAAGTCCTTCTCTTTCTATAAATTTGTTTATGGTACATTGAAAACAAGCAACACCATTTTCAATTCCAAAAGGCATTCGCTTAAATTGGAACAACCTCCCATTACTTCAAAAGCTGTAAATTTTCTATCATTTTCAGTAATTGGAATTTGATGGTAAGCGGATTTCAAATCAACTGTACTAAATATTTTGTATTGAGCAATTTTGTTTACTAGATCATAAATCCTTGGTAATGGATAAGCGTCTAGTTGAGTATAGTTATTTATTGTTTGACTGTAGTCGATGACTAATCTTTTGTTAGAGCGTTCTTTTTTAGTTACAACTACCTAAGCTCTTCAAGGAAAAATTTGCATGTTCAATAATGTTCAATAATGTTCCTCTTTAAGCATACATCATCCATTTCAATGAATGAAATTCTTCCTTGAAAGTCTTCCTTGCTATATCGACAAGATTTTGAAGCTATTAGTTTACAGTTAGGGGATAAATTGCCAAAACTAGGTGGAGATACATTTAACTTCGACAAACCACAAATTAATAGTGGGGGTCTTTTTCCTTCAAATTGAAGGGTTAAAACTTTGTGTTGTTTTTGAAAATCAAGAACCAGAATAACATGCATAACTCATTTAAGGTGTTAAGTTTCACTAGTTTATAATGTTCATTTTTTATTAAAATATTGACAAAAATTACTCCACAAATTGTACTAGATAAATAAGATGAAGCCATAGATACTTGTGTTTGGTTGTGTCTATGAAATATTAGGATTTGTTTTTGTACCAATCGAGGGTGAATAAAACTATCAGTGCTACAACTATCAATAAGAGCGTTTACAAATGAACCATTAACCAACATGCAAATTGTTGATTTAGTCAAAGCTGAAATGGAAGCAGAAATGTTCTTTAAATTAGTTCTATGTTCAGGGTAGTCTAGTCAAATAAGTGAAGGATTGTATGAGTTCAAAGGTTAATCAACAAGGTTCATCCCTGCTGTTGTAAGTTTAGAAGATTTACATAACTTGGAAAAATGACCAACGTTCTCACATTTAAAACAAATCAACTCTCTAGCAGATCAGCCAACTTTAGCATGTCTTTGATTCCCACAGTTCCAGCAATTTGAAACAGATTTTGAGTTAAATTGCTTTGGCTTTTTTGTTGCAGCAGCTACTGTTGAATCTGATGTACTATACTGGAGGTAATTTTCAGCATTTTTCTGTACTGATTCCAAGGTTTTTGCTTTTGAAAACATTTCATCTGGATTTATTGTACTGTTTTCTAGTAGTCGCTGTCTGACAATTTGTGAATTTAACCCTGTTATAAATGCATCTCTAATATATTCATCGCGATATTCAATAGCAGACACTTGATTGAAGTTACATTCTTTTGCTAAAACTTTAGGAGCATGTAACTATTCATCAAAATATCTTTATCCTGGCTGTTACTTATGTGTTTTCAAGAGTTGTTGTGCATAAACCTCATTTGATGGTTTAATGTACACAGATTGTAAAGCTTGTATTGCTGCTTCATAATTTAAACATTCGTTTATTATTTCATAAACATCGGGCACAACAAAATTGGTCAGGATTTTTAACTTATTGAGTTCTTGAGGGAATTCATCAAGATAATACTCAAATGTTCTGAGCCAATTTTTAAATAATTTTATTGCAAAAGGTGAGATAGGTAAATCCAAGCAAGAAGGTCTTAGGGCTCTATCCATATTTTGTGTTAACAAGAGTAGAAAAAACGACAATTTTAATTCTTAAAGGTTTTTCTACTCTAAAATAAACAAAGTAAATAATCAAAACACAACAATCTGCATCACTCAAATAAAAAAAAAAAAATTAAAATCACCCCCTCCCCTTACAATATGGTCTGGATCCGCTCTAGCTGACGTGAAAAAAATTCAAATGTTTGATTTTTGGATCTCAATGTTGTTGGCTATAATCCTTTGAATTTCAAAAACTCCAGAGTGCCATGCTTAGCCTGGACATATACTTACCTATCCATTATTATTTGTCATGAAGCCAGGTTTGAAACCTCTGACTATATATTATATACATTTCTATCACTTTTTTATCACTTCTCTATTTTAAACATCACTTCGTTCGCCTTTTTTTTTGTCTTTTATTAATCTTAAAACCATACTTTTTCCAAAGTTCTTACTCATATTCAAAAGTGTTCACCAGAACTTCACTACTGTATAAACTATTTTGCAAGTGGTTTACTGAAACTTGTTTTCAATATATTTATATATTGAAAACAAGTTTCATATATATATATATATATATATATATATATATATATATATATATATATATATATACATAAACACATAATACATACATATGTGTGCGCGTAAATAAGTAGCATATTTATAACATTTTACCTTGTACACATCATACATATCAATGCATTTGTCAAAGCAAACATATAAGTCATTTAACATTTCTACAACTTCAAGAGGAGTACTTTCTGAACATATGCTTGTAAAGCCAACTATGTCAGAAAAGAATATTGTAACAGAACTAAAACTTTCTGCAAGAACAGGATCACCTTCTTTTAACTTGTTAGCAACAGTTCTAAACATGAATAAAATTAAAATTAATATTAAAATCAAAATAAAATAGGAAAAAAAAACAACAAAAAAAAAGTTTTAAAACTTTTATTTTTAAAAGGTGTAGCTGCTTTTTTTTCAGTTTTTAAAAACAACAATCATTATTTACAGAATCTTTCAAAAAGTAACAGAATTTAACTAAAGTTGACAACTTTAGGTTATTTGCTAACGCAAAAGACAAATTTTAAATTACTTAAGTTTAACATTCAGTACGAGTTTATTATAAAAAAGTTATTTTTGAAAGTTTCAGAATTGTATAGTAGTTAAAGTAATTTTAATTTTTTATTTAAGTGCGGTAGCTCGCTTCATATGTGAGAAGTTCCGAGTTTGATTCTCACCATGTCACTGGTAGTACCACATTTAACTTGTTTCTCCATGCAGCAGCTTTGTTTGTCAATGTTCATAAAAAAGTATCCTGCTTGACTGTAGTGGCCATCTTGGACTTGGGGAGGTGAATAATTAAAACAAAAACAAAACAAAAAAATTATATTAGTATAAAGAAAACTTTAAAGCATAATATAAAAGCATAAAACATACTTAGGTAGCATTTTATAAAGAAGATTTTCGGTTTTAATTTTTTCTTGCTCTAGTTCATCAGTTCGTTCAGAAACTAATTTTTCTAAATTGTCTGTGTATTTCTCCATCATTGTCATCATATGATCCACCAAACTTCCTTTTCTAAATATGAGAAAAATCGTCATTATCATAATCATCATTATGTCATCATCATTATCATCATGATCATGATCATCGTCATCGTCAAAATAAAATCATCTAAAATAAAAATTATGTTACTCAAATTTACATTCCGCTCTGTTTTTCCAATTTCAAAATAGACTTTATAATATCTCTGGTATTTGGTCGCATTGATTGAACTACATTCCAGCAACTCTTCATTAGATTAATATACTCAACTGGAGCATCATTGTCCGGTATTTTAGGTAAAATCACTGAAGAGGTATTTCTAAGTGAATCCATAATATCTAAAAGAGTTATATAGGATTTAAAAAAATAACTTAATATATTTATAAATATTATTATAAAATATTAAAATTATAAATTTAAATTATTTTATTAGCATTTATTTGATTTTAAATTTATGTTTTTATTAATGCATGTGACTAAATTTTTTTTTAATTATATTTGATATAAATAAAACATGCATCAAATGAAAAAATAAAATTTTTTTAGAGTACTTATCTTAGATATATTTTTTTTACTCAAAAAAAGAAGAGTAAAATCCAATGTGAAATATCTAATGATATTGATAAATCTTTAGTAGGTGTAAAACATTTATTGTTTAATGAAATGTGATGGCTATAATAGAAAAAGTTATTTGTTCATAGGCAAGCATTTTTTACTAAAATTTAAAATAAAAATTAAAAATTAAAATCTATAATGTTATATTTTTATAACTTTTTATATTATCAAACTTGTCATTAAAATTCACAAAAATAAAATTATTTTTTTTTAAACTGTATTCACTTCTTCAAAGCGGAAACACTACAGTCAAGAAGGATACTCTTTATTTTAAATTATCTTTCGATAATTTTCTATATTTGTAGATATTTTAACAATTCTTGTCACAGATTTTGTTACATGGCAAGAAAATATCCATAACTGTACTTTTTGGCTTCTTATAATTGCAATATCCCATGATTCATTTGATGATGACATATCAATTATTCTACCTTAACTAATGTCATTTAGAATCATTCTCAAAACATATTTTACTTTATTTTATTTCAATAAAAATACTTGTACATTTATTACAACAATTGAACTGCTTATTTCAGAAATCTGTCAAGTGTGCAAGTTTTTTTCATAAATGATAATGCTAAGTTATTTTTAATTTTTTTTTTGACATATTTTATAATTTTTATATGAGTGAAAAAGCTTAAAAACAAATATATTACAAATATATACCTCGATTTGCATGTATTGAAAATGTTTTGAATATCCGGAAAAACTAAAAGTTGAAGAAAATATCCAAAATTTCGGAAATATCCAGAAAAAGATAATCCCCGTATTATAGACTATGAAAACCCATAATGGCTTTCTGCAGTAAATTTTTAGCTTAAACATACATTTAGCATAAAGATGAGGCCAATAAATCACCAGAGGAGGTTTGTTCCACAATACTACACTATTTGAAAACTGATTTTCATGATAAAGTCCACCAGTGGCCTACAAACCAAGTTTCTTGCAACAACAATGCAGGGTATAGCAATAAAGCTGCTGGCTGTTGATAAACCTGCTAGTACTAAAGCCTAAAACTTCTGCATTTCTACAATCTCTTACTCAGATAGTTAACTTTGTGACTTGTTTTCCTGACAACCCTAATCATTTACCTTTACTCCTTAATTTATATCCTGTCTCATCCTAGCTTGTGTTCAGTGTCTCCTTTTTCTCCCTTTGGTAGTTCTGACCATGCAATGATCTCTTTAAATCTTTCATCTCAAACTTCCTTTTCAAACTCACCCTATAATCGCACTACTTACTACTACCCTAAAGCTGACTGGAATTCTTTTCGTGATTTTCTTTGCGACGCTCCTTTGGCTGATGTCTTTACTCAACTGATAAATGCATCTCCTACCTAACCTCCTGAATTCAGGCAAGAATGGAAGCTTTTATTCCATCTGGTCAGTTCCAAGTCAAGCCTCATTCTACTCCATGGTTTTTACCTTCTTGTGCAGCTCCTATATCTAATCGTAATCATTTTTTTATCTTTTTCAAAAGAACAACTCTCTTGACAACTTTGCAAGAACATACAATATTGCAAGAACTTATTATTGTACTCATCATACTCAAGAAACCGATATAAAAGGGTGTTGTTTGGTGCTAAGCTCAAGTATTCTCGGTTTAATAAATCTCTTATCTTATCTCAGCGATTAGGCTCTAAAGACGTTTGGAAAATCTTTAATAGCATCATTAACAAGGGTAATTCCATTTCTCATTCATTGGACTGATCTTATTACCTTTCCTAAGGATAAAGCAGAGCTATTTGCAAAGAACTTAAGGCCATTTTCTTTCTTCCATTCCAATTAAACAAATTAACCCATTGTTAGATATTCAAGTCACTCTGGCTTCCATTGCTAAGGTCATATCTCAATTAAACTCTTCTACAGCTTGTGGTCCAGTTTTTGTCATAGTGTTACAAAATTATTCTCCAGACTTATCTTTAATTCTCTCTAAACTATCGAATATATCTTGATTGAGCCTTTTTTTCCTGCCTGCTGTAAAATGGCATCTGTTGTTCCAAAAACTTGGGTGAACATTCTGACCGCTCTAATTATCACTCAAGCAGTCTTCTTTCTGTTATCAGCAAGGTCTTAGAGTTTTTTCTTTGATCAACAAATTTCTTGCATCACACCTTGAGTCAAATGTCAGACAATCAATATGGTTTTTGATCCTCTTGCTCTACGGGTTGCTCTACTCTGTTGTGACTGAAAGAACTTAAGACGTATTAAATTGAGGCGGAAAGGCTAGGGCTATTGATCTTGATATTTCTAAGGCTTTCAACAAAGTTTGTTAAAAAAATCAATAAAAAAGTAAAAAATAATATTACAAAAGAATAGTACTGTAAAAAACTGACAGTAAAGACGCATTTTTGAATTTATTTAAGGAAAGAGGGGGTACCAAAAACTGACATAATTTTTAAGGGAAGTCAGCCAAAAATTGACAGTTTGACAAAAAGGGAAGAAAGGCTAAAAAACCAGGAAAAATTGCAGACATCATTTATGGACAGCCCCTAAATGATGATGATGATGACAATGATGATGATGACAATGATGATGATGATGATGATGATGATGTGATGATGATGATGATGATAACACTTTGATATGCAGATTCTCTGCTGACTTTATCTTTTAAAAAGTCTGTTTCAATCACTTTTTTAATAAATATGAAAAAAAAAAAAAAGAATGAAAAAATACGATTTTTTGCAGCAATCTATACCCTCAACCAATTAATGTACTGAAGCCAGTACATTAATTGGTTGAATTAATGTATGATGCTATCAGTAACATATAATGGGTAGCTAAATCCACATTTGTATACA